CTATTTTACTTTTCTGTTTAGGAACACACTTAGGATCCCATCCTCCAGTATCTGGGTAAATAATCAACTTCTAAGTGGTCACAACTTTGTGAAATGAGAAAAGCTAATGAAAGACATTTTATCTGGAGTTGCCGGTCGTTGCTTTTACTTCTGTCTGGTGCTGCAAGTAGGAAAAATATTTTTGAGTGTATTATTTTTTCTATTATGATGACTTCAAAAGTATGTTTACTAGACTTCAGCAAAGTACTGTGAGTTTTCAGAAATGAGATCATGCCAAACAGGCTCCTCTCTATTTTCTTTTTCACTTGCTGGAGCCAGTTACATTCTCTCCACCAGAGAGCGCAAGTAGTACCAGACGCCAGGAGGTCTCAGACTATGCTGATAGTGCCGGGACCGAGAGATGGCTGCACTCGAATAAGCGATCATGCGAGCTGCATTCCTCAAGAATAGGCACTCTCGATCTGATAGGTAATACCGATTAGATAAAATTCCTGCTTATGGGTTAATTTAGGCTCAGAATTGATATTGTAACCAAATGGTTATGGCTGCCCAGGTCCAAAATGGAGCTGATGAATCTCCTGACAAGGAACCACTGGAGAGATTCCTGCCTCTCCCCTCTGACTCTTGGGCTCCAATCCAGGAGGTGCTGCTCTTCTAGGGGTGTGTTCTTCACCTATGCAGTACACTCACCTGCTCTTCAGACACATGCTAGGAGGATACTAAGACAAATTGGCTTTGGGAATGTCATGCATCAGAAAGAACAGAGGACTTGGTAAGTAGTAGAATAGAATTTCAAGTTTGAGACTGAGATCAACAGATCATCCTAATCAAAGGCAGTTTGGGCAATGTTGTACCAAATTCAGAGCAAGCATATGAAATAAAATAAAGGCTTATGAAAAATCTCAAAACCCAAGCCTCCCTGTAGAAGCACAGTGAAAATGCCCCAACTCAACTGCACAGTTAAGAAAAGCCAAGGGCATGTACCAGTTTTGTGTTGTGCATGATCCCAGAGCATGCCCCTGTGGGTGCTGCACTAAGGCTATAACATCTCAAGTCTTGAGTGTGTGGGTGTAAGAACGCCCACAATACGACTATGCAACTCCTTCAAGTTATTTGAAGGAGAATGGCATGTGTTATGACACAGGCAAAGGGTAAAAAGCTTTTAATTCCCTAGTCAAGAGTTCACGTTATGTTCAAGTGTGTTGACTGTAAATTACAACAATAGGTATAAAACTACAAATAACCTTTCTTTCTATTTTTTTACACAACTGTCTGCACTGTTGAAACCACTGGGATAAACTGGTATCCTCCTTGGCATTTCCAATAGGAAGCCAATAACCACAGGATCTGGATATGAATCCCTCTCTCCACTCCCAGCTGTCAATTAGGCAGAAAACAAGACGGTAGCACAGGGTAGCTAATGAAGGAAATACTGAAGTAGAAGACAGGTTTTAGACAAAAGTGTATAACTTCCTTTTAATCTCATAGGGAATTTTCTCCAAACTCAGCATTTGTTACATAACAGAGCTTTAAAAATATATATAAATAAAGAATAATAAAAATATATTTTAAAAAAGAGAAATTCACCTTCTGTTTGGTGCCTTTGTGCTGGGCTATTCCGGTGGATGTGATATTGCGATCTTCTGTTTCTGGCCCTTCCTAGTGCCCATATGCAGTATGAGATGGCCATAATAGATTATAGGGTTATCTTCTTAAAAATCAGGCTCTTTTAAGTACTTCCTCTCTCATGCCTTGTGAGCTGTATTAATACTTCCTAAAAAAGTACCCAATTTCAAATCTCATTTTTTAATAACAGGGATTCTTTTTTAGTCTTTTTCAGAGTGCCAGTGTGGTGGTTTTGTTTCTTATCCTTTTTAAAAATGCATTTACTTCTACATGCTTCAGTCAAATTTACTGAAACACATAGTCTGAAAGCAAGCTAACATATCTAAATTTTCTTCCTATGGCATCTAGGCAGTCAGCTGATTGATCAGTAAAGAAGAGGCAGCGGCAAGTAGCAGGTGCCTTGCTAACCATATCCCTGGGCTGCCATGCAGAGAGGAATTCTTTACCTTTCTGCTTATGGGTGGTAACAGCTGTGTGTCTGTTCTCTCATTGACTGGACTCCACCCAGGCTGCTGTACAAAACCAGAGATGTGCGTGAAGCTAAGGACTAGCCAGGTGAAAAAAGAGTAAGTGGGATGGTGGTTGACAGAGCTCTATATACTATTCTGTAGAGCCTTCTCAGGTTTCAGCAGCTCCTCTTTTTAGGATCGACAGGTGTACATGGCAGAGTGGAGAAACTGCTAATATAACTCTACATGTATAGTTGCGACATTCGTTGAAATACTCAGGATAAGGGGTTTCAAAGCCTGCTTCCACAGGACCCAAACCTCCTCTAATGTAATATTGTAGGGGAAATATTATTAAACAATCTTTTGGGAAGTCTTTCTTCCCTTAAACTCTTTCATAGACTTTATAGCATAGAGGAATGGATGCAGCTTTTTGTCAGTCACAAAAGTTTAAAAGGTGTCAGACCCCCAGATGCTTCTAGCTGTTTGCTAGGGAAGGAAAAAAAAAAAAAAGGAACCAAAGACCAGTAGTCACCACAAATGACATATTAAAACAGAAGTTGATTTTTTTCTTGTTTTTGGAGGGGGCCACGGTGTGCTCCCTTCTCTATCTCATGCTCTTCTGCTGTTGCCATCCTTCTCTCTCTCACCTCGTCTTCCTCTTCATTGCACTTTGTTCCTTTAGGCTCCTGCCTATGGAGCCTGCAGGCCTCCGTGCTGTCTCTTCTTTCCAGCAGAAGCATCCGTGGACGCTGGTTAGCTCAGCAGATGATGCTACTACACACTCTGCATCTGCTTTTCGTTGTAGAGATGTGTGTTGCTGGATGAGAGGCTGTGCCCTCAAATATCAGATTAACCTAATGACTGCAACCATGGCTCCATGGCAGCCAAGAATTGTATCCATCCTAGGTCCTAGACTGATAAGATGTTAAGAAATGGTTAAGGGCTGGATCAAAACCATGGAGGCAAGATAAAGCCAATCTGTTTTTCAGGAATTTCCCTTTTTCATGTAAGAAAGATGGGAAGTAAGACTTGTATATGTTGCTTCACTGCAGCTAATGCCTGGAAATTTTCCATTGCAGAATATTTCAGCAGCAGAAATAGAAATATTACCCATGTAGATATAATGCTAACAATTATCCTACTAGTTTTTCTAATTAAAACAGAGTGATAATTGGAAACATCCTATGAATGGAAAAGTAAGTAAAAGTTACTGGATCTGTCTATAGAACAATTACCTTAGAAGTGGAAGACTGGCAGTAAACCAAAGCATAACCATGAAATTAGGCACAATGCTTATGACAACAACGTCTGTAACTTTTTATCACTTCGGTTTGCTTCTTGACTTTTATGTCATATAGGTTGCATGGTCTCTAGAGCAGACGTTTTGTGTGAAACATGTAAGCAGATGTTAGGCTGCTCTGTAACAGTAACAGAAAGAGGACGTGTATGCAGATCTTAACTGGATGCAGAAAGAGCTGGAGAAGCTTTTTTATGGTGAAAGAAAAAGGGAGTCAAAGCTGTGGTGATTTACCACTCTATGAATGGGTCAGAGAGCAGCTCTCCCATCTCTCTCCAACTCTTCCATAGCTCACTTTACTTCTGACACATAGGGATACTCCAAAGAGAGACACTCTAGGAATCCTTGCCCCGCTTTCCAAAGAGATTCAAGGAGCATGAAGGGCCCAAATCACCTTGACTTTGGAGTGCCCAATTCTTTGGGAAGCCCCTGCAGCCCCTCTCAACCAGCTGGTAAATCCGGTACTCCAACTCTACACTGTGTTTCACCCGACTTGTTGCCCACTTAACTCTACCCAGACAGTACACACATGTGTAGTGGCAAGCACCATTCTAAAAGGGTGCATAATCAAGTTTATGCTCTCATTAGGCCCTTTTTTGCTACCCAGTCAGTCAATACACTTCATGAAAATCTTGTTTTGAGTGAAATTGGTCAATGGGATCAAAGAATACTGCCCCAATTAAAAATAGTGAAGGTCAGCAGATATTAGTCCAAGAAGTTGAAGAAACAGTCCTAAGTTTTCAAAGGTAGCTATCAATCTGCTTTGGGAAAGGAAGTGAGTAAACCCTCTTCCCAAAAGATACAGAGATCAACTTCTGTATCATAGGAATACACACACTGCCGTCCCTCACAAGGGTTTTTAGAAGAGGAAAATACTTGTAGCAAAACTGCTTTTAATGAGAGCACTGCAAAACCACATAACGATTCCAGCAGTATATTTTCAAATATGTAGTTCAATCCAATTTTAGATGAAAGAAGTACTCAGTTGATGTAACCTTGCTTCCACACAGTCTTGTTTTAATCACTGATTGCGGAGGAAGCAGAATTTGATCAGTGCTCAAGGTCTTTTGAAGATTTTTTTTTTTTTAA